CATAATGGACTCAGGTTCTACCATTTATAAGCTGTATGTGACTTGACAAATTATTAAATCTCTATCTCATAGTTGTTTTCATAAAATGGGCATAGGAAGAATATTTTATGGGATCATTGTATCATTGTTTGATACCTGAACTTTATTTATGAAGATTTGTGACCCCAATAAGCTATCAGTGAGATTCATGTTTCAGGAAGATCTCTGATGGCATAGTAGATAATGTCTTGGAGAAGACCAGAAATGGAATACTACAATATTTCAGAATATGGACTAAGTATACTTTAATCAGAGTACTTGACAGTGGATGGAGAAATTGAGATATCTCACACTTAAATACTGAACAGATTTAGGGACCACCTGAATTTAAGGAGAAAGAGGAAAAATATGTTATCCCAAGGTTTATAGTTTAGATGGCCAATGAAGGATAATATCACAATGCTTTGTATCCTAACTGCTACTTCCCAGTGGCACAATTCTGAAAAGCCTCTCACGGCAGGCTGGCTGCCAAGAATTGATTCCATGCCTATTTACAGCACACAACAATAAACAAAAACCCTCACAAGTCAGTACAAGTAAATTCCTCCTGCTAAGCCTACCTTGTGTTAGTCGCCTTAGATGACCCTGACCTTGAGCCCTTTTGATATAAAATTAGTTATCTGTCTATCAAAACAGCAGAAAACACCACTTCTCTTTTAATATGAGGACTGCTTCCAGGTATGGCATCAATAGGTGGTGCAAACAATATGATGAGCAGAATTCACTCCCATTTTTGGTTTCACTTGGGACATCAGGATGTAGTTTTCACAATGCAGGGAAACAGTGTTTCCTCAGGATGGATATTTTACCATCAAATGCAGTTGGTCAAATATGACACACAGTACGCGTAAGATATTGAAATTTAAATGTGGTAAAAACTTGAATGTATGATTACTGCTGTTAGATTATCATATTTGATAGAACATGAGAAAACATAGGAAGAGAGTTAAAATGACATTAAAGCAAATTCTCGGGAACATACTCCCAGGAAAACTTTCTTATTGCTTGAATTACCCACACAAAAAATATACTTCTATTCTTATCTTAAAAGACGCCATCTGTATCTCTACTACACAATCCAAAAATTAGGAGAGCTGAATATATTATGTACCATATAGCTTATATAATGCTATTATAATAGCTATGTTTGTACTATTAAATTTTAAAGTGCATTGCCTGACAAGCCCTATACGCGCAAAAGTTAAAAAGAGGTATACATCAACAAGCTTATTTTAAACTTGGAGAATAGTGGGAAAATGGTAATTAATCCTAAATTTTTTAGGATTTTCCAACTCTACAACACAAATGTCCTGAAAGCATAGATTAGGTTGGACCTTTCTTTGCATCTCCTATGATTATTCTTCTAGTGCTTACTATGTTATGTAGGGAGAGGTGGCACTAAGTGAACCTTCATCTTTGCTCCCCAAAACAGTACTTTTAGACAGTATTTCTGCCCAATTCACAGAGATGGTAGTGTTGTCATTTAAACTGAGTTTAAATGAATCAAATACTGCCTCTGAAACTTTCTTTTCTTTCTGTCTGGGTACCACACAAGGATTCCCTTCAGACTCTTCTCATTCTTCAGTTCTTTCAAAGTAGCACAAAGAAAAGGAAAGTAGCAATATACATTTCCCATTTCTTAACAACTTTGCCTTGTACTGCATCTAGATGCCTAGTAACAAAAACACAGGACGGCTCTGTCCTCTAAAAATAGTACGTATTAGATTCTGCTTCCCTTCTGAATGAAGGCTTTTATTTTTTCCTGGAGAAATTAACTTTTAGTTTCCAAATGTTTCAAACTGTTTGATAATTTATACCTAAATATGACTGAAGGAATTAGTGCTTCAGATAGCTACCTCTATCATGATGCCACACAACTGAGAAAAGCAATAAACCAAAAAACAATCAACTATTTTCTTTTCTGTTTTTTCCCCTTATTTCCTTCTCCACAAACTGAACTAGTTAATCACTGAAGTGTTTGCTATTTTTTAATCCCTATGCCTAAAAAAGTTGTTTTTAAGGTGTATGTATTATGCAAATAAAATATATGCCCATTCTTACATAAGTCTCAGCATAATTATAGTTTTGCATAATTAGAGTTACATGTCAAAAGATTTACAGCTTTATCACCTCAAGCAATATTTCACAGCTGCCAAGAATGATTTATGCAATAATGACTTAAACTGTAAAATAGAATCCTCAAAGGAAGGGCTGTCAAATATTCCTCTTGCAAATAACTAGGTTTTAAAAAAATTGATATTCTGGTAAACAGTAAGATCAGTTGTATCTAGCATAATCATAAACAGGAGAAGAGTGGAAGAGTTGCTTCACAGTGGATCAAGTAGCTCACAGTACATTGCATCACTGTGGACTCATTGCATAGATCACAGGTTTAAACTGCTTATAAAATCTCTGGCCACTTTGGGGAATAAGCTTTTGGAAATTATGTTCTGCTCCTATTTTTTTACTGCACTATAAATGAACAGAACAAGTGAAAAAGTAGGAACAATACCTCAACTTTCTGTTACTTTGCTCATTGTGCTCATTACGTGATTTTTATATCCATGGGAAATGCCAAATTAGGAATAAGGAACCATTTACTATACAGAATTAAAAGAACAAGAAAACAAAAAAACAAACAGCCCCCATGGTAGTGAATTAGGAATGTTGAGGAAAATACCAACACAAATGGCTTTTTCTCTCCTATGCTTTTATTAACTTAGAGTGGCTGGTAAGAAAATCAAAGCACTGAAACTTCCTAAATCTGACTGATCTCACAGTTGCCATGTGAATGAAACCAATATACTCTGAAGAGTCTAGTCAAGGTATCTGAACTGGCAGGAAAAACACAAGATTATGACATTCAAAGCAAAGAAGTACTGAATCTTTACAATCGAAAAGAGTCATTCAAATTAATCATTGTTTTCCTTTGGAAAACCATAAAATGTGTAACCAAACCTTTCATGTTTTCTATGTCAATTAAAGCTATATGGTCAAGGTTTATGGTTAGCATTAACACTCTAAGTCTGAGTCACATCTCTGCAAAAAATTAACAGAAACAACGTCACCAAAGGTTGGAATTTCTCTACTTAAACAAGATTCAAATAAAGATATTTTGTATGAATTTAATTTAACCAAGCAAATCTTTCAGATATAATTTTGCATTAGTTAACATCCTAACACCTTCTTTGCAGAATTTTTTATGATTATCTTTGAGTTTCTATGGGAAATTGGTTCTTTTAGGAGGTCTCTGATCATTCCCTATAGTCACATTGTATGAAATAGCTAGATTTCGAAGCATCACTGTTTCTGTTGCAGTGTAACAGGTAATGTAATAGGTAATCATTTTTACTTAAAAACACTGTAAAACCTATACTTAGTATCTAAGAGATTTGAGCACACCAATTTTATTTTATAATTAAGTTCTGAAATAGCCCAGAAGTCATAGTGACAAAAGATGGATTAACAGCATGCAGAGCCACAATGTAGACTGTGTCAGCATCATAATAAACACCCAGCTGGAGAATACGGTCAGACATACAAATGATTTCAAAAGTACAGTTGCTTGTCTTCAGGTATATAAAAGAGATAAGTTATATATGAGTAGTGAAAGCCTAAGTCCAGTAAATGTTTTCAGGACCATAAAGCAATTAGTCTTGTTCTAGCATGCAAACACTACTGAGCAGAAAATTGAAAGAAAATGGGAAGAATGTTCAAAACAATTTCTATGCTGTTTAATAATCACGTAATTGCTTTCTCCACATTAATACAATGTTAGACAAACTTGCTTTTCCCATAAAACTTCCTTGCACATATCCACTCACATTCATGTAGTAGAAAATACCATAATTAATAACTGTACATTTCCTATCATGAAAAATTTAATTGTAAGAAAATAAGCGACAGTTAATATTTTCCTTGCTATTTTTGTCAGTTTACTAAATGATTTGTCATTATATTCTTTAGGCTTTAGAACATTACACATTTACCAAAATCTTAGCTTTTTAAACGTCTGAATGGATATCCCTCTACCTCATTAATTTCCATAAATGAGATAGAAAAAGATGACAGTGCAATATTGAGAAAATTGAGTACAATGTGCAAGCTTATAAAATTATTTTCCCTTTAAGTCCTAGATTGTTAAATATCATTAGGTGTGCACATGCGAGGATTTAAACAACATAAAGTATGCACATCTGGTAATTCACACGTAGGAGTTGTGTCTCATAACATGGAAAACTTGAAAGAAGGAGGTGTGTCCTTGAAGTTGAGGATGACCTTAAGTTTATAACGTCACTGTGCTGTAGCTATAAAAGTAACTACCAATATTTTTACAGAGTCATAATTCCTTTTCTACAATTCTCAATTTAAGAAAAGTCTTGAATCCATGAGTATTTGAATATACCTAGGGTTACTGGGTCAGTTTTAGAAGTTCACATATGTCATCCTTAATCTTGCGTTAAAATGAGCCAAGGAATAAGAAGTGTTGCCTATCAAAGCCTAAAGTGCCAAGTAACACTTTTAAGTTGAAAAGTTTTACCTTCAGTGTATTCAATTTTGAACACTTTTCAAAGTATTTTCAGGTGCAATAAAATGTAACTGTTAGTCTAAAACCAAATATAATTAATGCAAGCAATAGACCACTGCTCTTTATAGTACACCTTAGTGGAAGGAATGTGTGACACTACTTTGTGGCACTTTATCCTTAGTGATTTTGAGCTACTACACTTTCAAAAAGTTTAACCAGAGTACCCTTCATCAAAGAAGACATTTTTCTTCTAATCCAGTAATGACAATGTCCAATAATGACAATGTCCAAAGTTCTTGTACAATAAAACACTATGAGCACATCACATTTCCACAATTAAAAATTTGGAGTTTCTCTGCATATAAACTTTTAGTGATGAAAATTTATTTTCAATGGAATCAAAAACAAGGTACCCTAAGGGCATAAACTTTACCATTCTTGTGATAGTAGGTGACTTCCACTTTCCTCTCCTCTGACCCCAGCAACGCCTGGGCAATTTGAGCAATATCATGCCTCTTGGTCTCAGGCCCATGAAGAAAGTCGCAAGTGCATGGCTTTTGCATGACATCTGGTCTGGAGAAACCAGTCATCTCACAGAACCCATCATTGCAGTAGATGATGGCACAGTTCTGCACTCTGGCATTTGCAATGATAAATTTTTTATCTGTAACAAGAAGAAGATAAGGCACCTTTTAGAGCTTCCATAAGATTCTTATAAAAGCTGACAATTTATTGTAGATTAAGAGGCCTTAAATGCAGGTGTTTATACAAAATGCAAATGTCCCAGATCTTTTCACACACACACAAAGTTACACAACAAAAGACCCTGTAAACTTTAAATGTGAGAGTAACAGTAGTATGAAACAGAAGCTATTAAGCAGTATTATTCAAGTGGCAAGAATAGAATTTCCCAGTTTAGTTTTCAAGTGCCTTAACTTTGAGGGGTTCCAGTGAACAACAAGCAACTGGCCCATTGGTATTTCTAGAAAGGCACTAGAAAGGGTAAAAATGCTAAAAATTTTTCTAAGCTCAATAGTGAAACACCCTGTAATTGTCAAATTTCTCACTTCCACTCTGACTCTTTGAATGCAACTTCCACAAAGTATTTCCCTTGGATTTGGCTTTTCTCTATCTATTTAAAGTATACTACACTTGTTTAAAAAAGAAAAACAATTAGGTCTAGCAGTCAAACTAATTCACATTTATTAACATTTAAATAATACAAAGTTTCACCTGTACAAAATGTGCATTTTAAAAAAATCAAAGTATGTACACACCTGCACAGTGTCGTGTCAACACCTTTTTACTTTTATGTTGAGAGAACCTTGAATTTTTATGCACTAGTAGAATTTTTAATGCAAAGTACTCATTTATTTTAATAAAAACACATTTATTACTTTTAGATTGAATACGAAACCGGAAATAAAATTGTATTTTCCACATAAGGTACCAGATCCTCACCTTACTAAATGTGATGATAAAAGAGTACAAGGTATACAGTATAAACGTGTATAAATGTAGATTTAAAAAAATGATGTGACAAATGTAAGATTTTAAGTTACTACGCTTATACAAAATAATTCTTGATAGTTCACATGGTTGCATTATATTTTCTCTACATTTAGTCTATGTGGCATTTACTTATTTCGATTCAATTTTTAAAATTCCAGATAGAAAATTTAAGGAGACAACAAGAGGACAGCAACAGTGTTTTTGAATAATGAGCTGTTTTCATTAGGATTCCGCACAGATGAGGTAAGGCTTCCCCAAATGATCTGGTTTGGCTTACATTTGCCTTGATTCCCCCTAAAGTTTAGCTTGTATAAGATACCAGCAGGTAAGCATTCCTATCATTCCAGAATCCTGCAGTTTACCAACGTAAAAAATAGTTGGCACAACCATTTACATCACTGCCACATTTACATTCTTTTGTTCCAATAGCTGGGTTTGCTCTGCTCCTGACTTTTAAAAGTGTGCAATAAAACAGACTCACAATATAAACCCGTGCTATACTAGCACGTTCCCTTTAAGGTAGTATAACAGAAGGACATTAAGTAGCCAGGCAGATAATGGAGCAGTGGGAGAGGAGGATCAAATTGCTTTCAATAACGGAGACCATAATCTAAAATGTAAATCAAAATTAATATCAGAGAGCGAGCACTCCCGCTGCCATCCGAAGCTCCTCGCTGGCTTCACAGCTCGGAACTTGGAGCCAGGAGTTGCCGATCTCCCAGCTGGGAAGATCTGCCAAAGCGGAAAGCGAGGGAGAGAGAAGGAGAACAAACGAACTTACTTTGCCCTTCAAATTTCCGTATGATGGTCCCCAAAAATGTGTTTTGTGGTGCCACATGCCCCCTGCGGACGGGCATGGTGAGCGGGTCCTCCGCGGAGCGCCCCGCTCCGGAGTTCCTCCGGGATCTCCGCGCGGCTAGAGCCCAGGCCAGCGCGCCAGCCGCTCTTTGTGGCAGAGCATCCTCTTTGGGAGCCAGGAACCGCTTCCCATTAGCACCACTTCTAGACACCCGCTCTGCCCACTGGAGTCCAGTCCATTCCCCTCACCTTCCGGAGGGGGCCTCGCACCGGACTGCCAGGGCGAGAGGTCTGGGGGTGGGGAGCGGGAAGGAGGCGGGGTGAGGGGTGGCGGGGGAGGGCCGAGGGAGGGAGGGCGCGGTGGTGGGGGCGGGGTGGGGGGCTGGGAGTCACGAGGGCAATCGATCCGTTTCTCTTCTTCCAAACAGCGCCAGTTTCCCAGTGCAAATGGGCTTAACCTGGCTGTGGCCCAGAGCTCTAAGGATGGCTGGTGGGAAAGGGGAGGGGGTGGAAGACTTGTTTTGCAGGAAGGGGAAAAAGAAAAGAGGGCTGGGGGGGGGATTGACGTTTTTATCCCCGCCCTCTCCCCTACACACACACACACACACACACACACACACACACACACTCTCTCTCTCTCTCTCTCTCTCTCTCTCTCTCTCTCTCTCTCTTTATCCTGTGAGCTTGGGCGCTGCCACAGCTCGGATTACTCAAGCGTGCTTTAGCGGAAGCTGGCCAAGAAATCTCCAAAACTCAGTGACAAACAGCTGCACTGGGAAGGTGATCTCCACGGCCACCAGCCACAGGGCTCCATCCCTGAGCTCCTCACGCCGCAGTAGCTAGAGCAAACACCCTCAGCTGCAAAGGAAAGACAGGTGGCAACACAGCCCCTCCACCAGGAACATTTCTAGGCTCTCTAAACCCTCAGAAGGCTGGAGATGGAGGATGACCCTGCTAAGGGCGCAGTTTATCCTCAGGGTGCGACCCGGACCCCTGAGCTCCTCAGGAGTGGACGCTGAAGCCCCTGGGCGGAACCGGCGCGCGGGTCCCTGCCCAGTGCAGAGGCGCGCCTGGGAAGCACTGGAGGCTGCCCGCGCCGCTGAGCATGCCCAGTCTGATTGCCTGAATCTCTGCGGAGTTGCAAGGTGGAGGGGTGTTTGGGTCTCCAAGTGCAGGAGGCTGCCAGAAAGATGAGAAAGCCTAAGACTGAGTGAGCGAACAGTGCAAAACGAGGAAGGAGTTTGAAAAGGGCGAGGCTGGGCACCAGGGGGAAGGAACAAAAGGTGGGTGGGACTAGGAGTTAGCTGCCTGGCTCTGACCTCCACGCCATTCATCTCCTGAACACACTAGAAAAACCACTTTGCTCTCCCGCATTTGGAAGAAACTCTCCCACAGAAGAGGACAGAATAGACAGTCCTTTTCGTTCTGGATTGTCGGAGAATGTCAACGCGGGCTTCGCATGGCAAACCAACAATTCTGTCCAAACAGTCGTGGAGACTTGGAAAGTAAAATGTGACCACGTATGCTAGGGACGCACGCTTTTAAAGTGGATTTTCTAAAATTTTATTTTCTTCTATTTTACATAGTCTGCCTATTTTAGGGCAGTAGCCCTACCCCCATATCTCTCCTTCCTCAGAATATAAAAAGACATGTTTCAACAAGCTTTGTGGGGTTTTTTTGTCCCTTTTATCTTTTTAAAGTAGTTTATTCTATCGTTTTGTTGTTTCCTGTAGCGAGACTTGTAAATCTTCAGAGTTCCTCTTCCAGGGACTGAATTGTAGAGCTCTCCGCGGTGCTGACTCTGACACTTCTATTAGCAACTGCCGGCTGCCTCCAACCCCAGACAATAGAACTGCAAATGCAAGCAAGTGGCCCACTAGGTCCACGTAAACAGGTCTTACTCTCAGAAACACAGAACGATGTTTCCTCCAATTTCAAAACTACCTTTTTTCTACTTAGCTTCCTAACTAAACCCAAGCTCACCTTGCTCCTAAATTACATTAAGTTCTTCAAGGAGATCTGGTATCTCCAAGGGGATATCCAAGGTCTCTGGTATGAATTTTCGCTGTAAGCAAGCTCTAAAAGCATAATAATACAATAATAAGTTATAATAATGTCATATGGCTAATAATTACTTTAGGCCACATGTATACGGTGAATAAACATTTTAAGGTAAGAGTGATTTCCAAATATATTTTGAAACATAGTGTGTAAATATCATATCACAAAGTACATTGATATGTAGAAGTCGATTGAATTACACTTTTATTTATAACTCTGATATTTTTAAAGCTTATTGAGTCTGGAAAGCCTGGGATTCTATTTTCTTCTGCAAGATGAAAACTGGCTTCCTGCCCTCTGAAATATTCTTTTCCTACAACTTTCAGAGTTGTCTTTTTTTGAATTAGTTAACGAATCACATGCTTATTAATGTTCCACTGTCTGTGTTACATATGAGTGGGCATTACATTTTTTCAGCCTCATTTAGCTCTAAAATTAGTTCTATTAATGATTCAGTGTAAAATCATAGAACATTCTATAATCTATGTATTGCAATTGATTGATATGAGCAGAAGATTAAAGGCATCCTGTTTCTAAATTATCCCAGTAATCGTGTTCATGCATTATATATCGGTACAGTGGAAACAGGTTCATTAATCTATAGTCAGCCAATAATAGGATCCAACCCGAGGATGGTATTCATGACTGCTTGTTCTCGGGAAAGATAACTTTCTACCTCTACCCTTTGGAAAAGCTAAATTCAGTTTGTATTTTTCAATGCTCCATCCTTTTTAATATTTTTGTGCTTTTATAGAGGTTCAAATAGTGTATAAAAAGTCTCCGTTTAATATGAAAATCATATTAATTGAACAACCTAATGCCACAAAACAACTATAGGCAAAAATACAAAGCAAATATTTAACTAACTATCCACATTACTTCAAAATTAAGTTTATAGAATTTTACTTTTTACATAACACACAGTAGTACTCAAAGTTCATACATAGAAAAAGTCTGCATACATGTTCATAGAATTAATAGAACTTGGCATAAGAAGTACAAGTTTGAGATTATTTAAAGATCACACATCATTGCTCACATTTTAAAGAAAATAATGGCAATTATTATAGGGTATTAAAAGGTTTTCTTATAGTGAAAGATAATAGAAATCTTCTAAAGTCAAATAAGTAATATAATTTGTTTTCCTTTTTTGAAGTGATATAAAGTAAAACTGATGATATTGATGTGGTCTTTTCTTAGTTTAGCAAAACTGGCTTACTATTCTTATGAACACAATTCAGCATGTTTACACCTATTTTAATGATGCCTTCTATGAGAATGATTATCTATCCTACTAGGTAGGTCACATTTGTCTTAAAAATATTTGACTATGTGGGTTAGGCAACAGTTAGCTTGTATTATCTTATATAGTTTTACAACCTCATAAAAGCCAGAAATATCAAGGTCATCAATTAAAACAATAAATATTTTTGTATGGAAAGAGGAAGGGAAGAGTAAGTTCTACTTTGAATTTGTCTTTCATGTCCCAAATTAATAAAAATATTTATGCTATTTTCATCATAGCTTGAATTCTAAAGTGAGTTGAATAAATCCTTTCAGTTTTGTTTGATGATAAGTAATAGAGATGCACAATGTTTAGAACAAAATCTGACAGTGAAAGTTCAGTATCTGTCCTATATTTTTAAAATTACTATATTAATACTATTGACAGATAGCAGTTAACTAAGTTGGATTAAGATTTGTTAGTGGTGTGTGTGTGTGTGTGTGTGTGTGTGTGTGTGTGTGTGTGTTTGAGAAAGCAAGAGGGAGATAGAGAGAACAATAAATATTAAGAGAGAAAGAGATAGAAGTAGGGAATAAAAAGGTATAGAATGGAATAGGTGAATCATGTTTCCCAAGGGAAGTTGGAAGAAAATCAGTGATTCTTCATAATATACTAATTATACAATTGGATGACAATTCTTAATTTCTTTTCTCATTGCTGAGAAAAAATATCTGACACACAAAGTTAGAGAAAGGGGTGTAGAGGTTTCAGTCCATAATGGACTGGTTCCCAGGAAGTGTGGCTGATGACAGAGGAGCAAACACTCATGGCAGTAAAAAACAGCAAAAGTAAACATGGAAAAAGAAAGAACAAGTCTCTCTGCTGCATGCATAGTACTTACACTAGGGGAGGCAGAGCACTCCACCTTTAATTGCAGTATTGGATCATAAATCAATCACAATCTCTACATTTAGTCACCTCTAAAAATCCCACTACTCCATGACTGCATGAGGTTTTGCTGGAATATCTGGGTACAAGGTATTATCATTTTCAGAAAAATATTTAGATGGATCTCTGATGAATACTTCATATGCTAGTCTTAATCAAAATGGTTATTACTCACTTCACTTCAGAAACGTTTGTGTCAACATTATGGTAATTTTAACTTATCATTAAACTTTTGATCATCTCAGCAATTTTATGTGAAACTTCTCATAAGAACAAAGCCACTTCTGTGTAGAACAATATATTGATAATCACTGTCCTAAAATAAGTTCCTCTTCTTGCAGAAAATAATCTGCTCTTATGTGCATTATTAACACATTCATCAATAATTAAAATACGAAGTAATGAGTGACCTAAGTGAACTTTTATACTACAAAAAATATGCATCTAGAAACTTAAATTTGTGGAAAACCTTAGGGAAGGTTTTTACTGAAACACTTCGATAGGGAGTATTGTTAAAATTGTTGAAAAGATAATTTATTTACTCAATTTAGTGAGTAATTTAGTAGATGTGTCAAAAATGAGAAAGCTTCTCATATGTCAATAGATCTTAAAATTGTTTTAGTTGGCACGTACACTCATAATTTTTTAAATTTGATCAGTGTGTTGTATTTTTACTTGATATGAACAAGCTTAAGAAACTTAACCAAAATTATATAGCAGGTATGTATCAAAGCTGTTATAAGTTCCTTGAAGACATGGATCTTATTTTGCCTCAATTTGTTAACTTCTATAGTTCTTGCTACAATAGGCACTCAATAAAGATATTTTGAGTTGGCTGAACAAAGGTTATTAAACTTACCTTTTATTTTTAAGAATGCATTCTGATTTACATTGGACTACTTTTGTCCCATGTTTAAGTAATTTTGCCAAAGCAATAGGGTTGAACTATGAAAATTTATTTGTGGAAGGCAATGGGGACCCTTTGGAGAAAATATAATACCTAGGTGGAAACGCTGATTTATATAAACAAATCTCCATGATCAAAGTGATGCATAAATATTTCAGGCTATTTTATGAAGGGTAAATAAATTAATAATAAATTAATTTAATGTTTGTAACTAAGTAATGAGTTTTCTTAATCTTAGCCTCTTACTGAAAATTTTAGAATATTTTTCTGTCTTTAAATATTTTGTCAAAATTCAGATATTTTTAAATCAATTTGTTATATAATTTATACAAAAGAAAATGCATATTTAATACGAACACATTGATGAGTTATTTTTAAATTGTTTTCTTTTGACAACATTCATTATGGGTCACATGCAATTATAAGAAACAACAATAATGTCATTTTCCTTCATCCAGCTTCTCTAAAAAATATCATCTTACATAATTATAGTACAAGGTGTGATGTATACAGAGTATAGTTATAGGGTTAGACATCTCTTGTTCCCTAGGACTGGCCTTAATTTTTTTTTATTCGGTAGAAAGACTCATAGAACCCAAGGGGTTGTTGTATTTATTTCTGTAGTTTCATACATTGTAAATATACAGATTGAAACAAGCAAAAGTAAAAGGCCCATGAATAAAGTTCAGTAGAACCAGGTACAATCTTACGAATGTGACCTCTCAGATGACGCTGCCCCCTGGTTTCAAATTAAGAAACTGACTTAACTTTTCCAAGAACTATGTGTGATCCTATGTGTCAAGTGTTGCTAACCAGAGAAACTCACTTTGGTGTTCAGTATTCCTGTTGAACAATAATGGAATTGTGCAGGGCCTTCATGACTGACCTCAGTTAATGAGGCTCCAGCCTCAGTTGTGATATTTATTCAAAAAAACACTCTTGCGAGGCAAAGTATTCCAAGGAGTAAATGGACACTACCAAAGAGCTGAGGCAAGAGCCAGTTCTAAAGA